GCTCTGGTCCAAGAGTTGACGTCAGGGGCACAGGAAAAATTGGTTTTGCGTCCAGGCAGATTCATGGGGAATCTCTTAGCGTCGGCTGGTTCTTAGGCTTTCTTAGCATTAGCTGCAGTTACAGGTGCGTTCATTCGAGGCTATCCTGTCGACGTGACAGAACAGCTGTGTTTGAGGCTGGGCGGCCGACCCTAATCCTCGGGATGCTCTCGTCGCCACGAAAGCATCAGCTTGGTTCAAGAACTGACTTTCAGCTCAAAAGCTCTTGGTTTTGCAGCTAACTGAGTTATTTTAGAGAGAACAGCATCAAACGTCATCTGTCGATTAGTGTCTACCTAACCTCACCCAGTTTCCGGAGACCCCCGTTCGGATCCGAGATGTCAGGTGGAGATGATTTCCTCCGGGCACGAGGATGGTAGAAGAAGGACCTCCATGCGACCAAATCAGTCCTGGGTTGTCTCCGTGGGTCACACAACTGATGAAACTATTGGCGTCTCAAAATCCTTATCTCTGAAGGAGTTTATCGTCTTAACTTTACTCAGAAATCAACAACTCTGGGTAGAGTTTCGTTAGCTGGTTACAGTCTAGTTTTCGTGAAATTTTGTTTTTAGCGCTCAGTTGTTTTCTAATCAGAGAATCAGAATCCCTTAGTTGAACCAGCATCTTGGTACAATGAAATTTTGTTTTTCCAAGAACAAACATACAACACATAAAAATAATGTAAACAGTATGTGGCTATGGGCATACATAAACATGTTCTATGTCCTCCACGGACAGCAGCAATAGACACATAATCTTCCGCTTATTCCAGGAATCCATCACGTATCCCGCCAGGTGCGTTCCATCAGAGCAAGAAGGCGCTTCCTTCGCTGTTCATAAAGTGCAGGAATTTTTATCGATTGCATTTAGAGACCAGCTGATCAGATCCATGGTTATGAAAAGTCCAGCAAAAAAAAAATGCAGCGAGGCGGTCCAGATAGACTGACAGGATAAAGAGCGGCAGTCAAGACAGGCTTAGGAGAAGGACAAGGAAAAAGTGTTCACTCCTCCCAAGAGCAGGAAGCAAGTCAACATGTTCAATGTATTCTAATGTGAATAATTTAAAGTGGATGAGTCAATTTTGCATTGACTCAGATTAGAATTCCTGGTGAAAATGTCTATCTTTAAGATGTTAATATGATGTAAAAATTAAATTGTCACTGGGATTATATCAGGGATTGTAATGAAAGCTATGATGATTGTTTTACAAATATTTTGAGGATGTTAATGCTTAAGCTCAATCAATTCAGTTTAAAAAAGGTGTCATGTAGCGCTGAGCTACATCAGCACCATGGACAGTGCATTGATTTAGCGACCCATTCTTTCCTCATAATGGGTAAACCATTTTTACTATTGTAGGGTTAAATATTGTTGCTTTTAAGTTTAATATATTACCTTTACTTATGACCAATAAGCTGTAATATTCTATACAAATATAGGATATCAACCTTCTTCGTTTTGAATGTTTAATCAGAAGATTCTAGGGTTCTTTGCTTTTTCAGGGATCAAACACACTTCGTATCAATTCAGACGGTCAGGTTTATAAAAGGTAAGAAATGTATTTTCTACACAAATTAAAAACAAGACAAGTTAAATAAGACGAGTGTGATGGATGAATTTAAGTGGATGGGATGTGATGTTTGGTGATTAATGGTGTGTGTTTATCAGAACCTTGTATCTAGAAGAACTGAGTTCTGGGTGTGAAAAGAATTTGGTCTGCATTAAACTAGAAAGTTGGTTCTCATCAAAACAGCATCAGACGCAATCTTGCTGTGTTCTACGTACTCCTGAGGAGACTTTCCTTCGGATCTGAGAAGTCGGGGGGATCGGGTGACCCCAAGGTACCGAGGTTCGTAGAAAAGACCGCAGTACGACCAGGTCGGTCCAGAGTCGTCTCCCGGATCACAACAGATTGATGAAATTGTTTGCATCTAGAACAGCTGTCTCTGAATAGCTGAAGGAACCGTTTTGCTGTGTCAGCTGCAGGCAGCTTTTAGCTTGTTGAAAGCTTGTTGTAACGTGATGAAGGAGCTATACCACCGAAGGTTATTTACCCTCTCTCCTCAGATGCCTCTGACACAGAACTAATCTGCATGAGATATGTTCTCAAGGTCATGCATTTGCTTCTAAACTGCTTCCTTTCCAGCCCAAGAGAAGAATGAAGACAAAGGACTCTTTCCTTTTAATAAACCAAAGAACTCTATTTTTAATAAAGCTAATCAAACAAAATGTTAGTCCAATAATAAGATGTTGACCAATCTGTGAAATGTCAATGTTATGATTAGTATGTGTTAATAAGTAATATGACTTTAATCTAGCTGCACTAGACATCCGGATACATGTAAACGCATGACACATTGCTTTTACTCATCCAATCGGAACCTTCCTTTCTGAAGCGTGGCATAGTCTCTGTGGTGTTTATAAATCTGCCCATCTTTGATTCGACCGTAAATCAAAACATCCAGATTAATAAAACCAGTCCCCACGCCATCTTAGATCAGTTCACCGCATTCTAAGAGAAGTATCGGACCGGCCACCCGGACTTCCTTTTTAAGCAAAGAACCAACAAGCTGGATAAAATCTGTTGCACTTTACCAACCAAGCAACGGTTCCTTTCAGAATAAAAGCTGAACTCACTGACCCTCCGGGTCCATCTGACGCTGTCAACCAACTGTGGCTTTTTACCTGGAGACAATCCAAAGACTAGTCTGTCGTACTGCTGACGCTGTTTCATCGGCTCCGGTACCGAAAGAGGGTCCGAGGACCTGGCATTCTGGATCTGTACGGAGGTCTCATCCTGAAGGGTATGTGTGGAGCGACAAAATGGCGTCTCACGTGTTTATGAAACTCCGATCATAGCTTAAGAGCAAAACATCACAACATCATTCAGACGTGCTTCTCCGGATACGAGAGTTCTGATGACAACCTCACTCACACACACACCGTTCATTTCACGTCTCATTCACACCAAGATCCATCCATTCACTTAGAATTTAGAGTTAGTCTTGTTTAAAATTGTTTAGAAATAAATCTTCGTTTTAAAGGCGACTCTCTCTTCTATTGTCTCTCAGTTAATACAAAGTGTTACATAATCCCTGCAATAAAAAGTTCCAAACTTCTGGTTAAAAGTACCCAAAGATCCACAAGATTGATTTCATATTTACTATGGAATCTCATGTCTTAAGGCTCATTAGATAGATGAAAATTAAACCCTTTACATTGTCAAGAGATGCAGTGGTTAGAGAGAGTTTCCTCTGGTGGCCAGTCCGGAGTTCTGCTCAAAACTAACTGAATGCTTGGCCAATCGGGATGTACCATGTTAAGAGGTGTTAACAAACAACCCTCAGAACCAGAGCCGTGTCCAGGACTTTTAAAATGGGGTGGCCCATGTGGGGCACTTGTTTATGCATGGGTGGCACCAATGGTTGTGCTTATTTATTTATTTACACAAATCGTTTATTTATTTACTTTCTAGTGAATTTTGGAGTTTCACATTGCACGATCACCATTTTTTTCTATTCATCTTCTAGTTTTGTGGTGGTTAGCAAGTCACTTCTTGTTTCATTATTGCCACCAACTGGAGTTGAGTGGGACTCTAAATACTATTTATGTGAATATGAAAAAATAATAAATAATATTAATACTACAGAAATGTTCTGTAGGTCTGGGCTAGAAGACAATGTTAAAGGTGCATGCTACCACACACCATTTTTGGAGTTTACAACTCAAGCCTTTTGTCAACATTGTAAAGTCAATTTAAACTGGAACTTAGTAGGGTGGCCAATCAGATTCTAAGGGTGGCATGTGCTACCCCAGGCCACTCCCTGGACACGCCCCTGGTCAGAACATCACGCCTTCTCCGATACAGGATGCTCTGATTTGTGGGTAAGAAAACATCTATGTGCAGTGATGTTAACTTTAATTTATCTCTAATGAACATTGTGTCTGAGTGTAGATAATGATTCACTTGTTAAACCAAACATTACTGATCATAACATCAAAATGTTTCATTTTAATATTAAAATTCATTTCAACTTCATTGAATTAGGCAGATTATTCAAACATTAATATTATTATTCATACAACATTTGTCCATTCAACCATATTATTATTTAATGATTATTTAACTTATGAGTTGTAAAAGTTCTTCTTTTGTCCTGTGAAGCACGCGGATAGATAAGGCCGCAGCTTGGCAGAGAGGAACCTTGAGGGAGGAACACGATGTTGACAATCAGAGTGTAAACACGCAGTGGCGAATCTTTCCTGCAGCTTGGAAGATTAAGAGACGCAGAGAGGCAAATTCATGTCTGCAGATGACCGGTCACTGAAAAGGTCAAACTGTAGAAGAGAACTGACCAGTCCTGGACGCTACACTATGACTACTCTGTGTTGGAGTAATAGTTGTTGGATGTTTCTTTCAGTTATGGGGATTGCTGTAAAGTCTCTGATACAAGTCAGTGACTTGATGCAATTTGCTGGATTTTCTTACATAGGAAACTTTTTAAAGGTCAACTTCACTGAAAAACCATTATTTCTGATTCTAAAGGTTCACACTGAGCGTTTCATGCAGGCTGAACATGAAAATAGTCTCCTACACCTATCTCCTGCATTAGCTTCTGATAGAAAAGAGACGGTGAAACTCTAGGATTAGAAAAGCCTGACAGACCTACGTCACACTGTCACTAAACATTCATGGACTCAACCATCTAGACTCACGACACGGAAGGCTGTTGTGGAGAACGTCTCGGCTAGTAGAAGCTAACTGTTAGCATTAGCTTGTCCACCACACAGCAGAACTCCTCCAGGCTTGTGTTATTTGTGGAGATAGAAACTCTACAACGTTGATGTTTTAACTGCAGCAAATGAACTTGATGGTTTCATGAACATCTTCATGAATCTGCTGCTCCCTAGTGGAGCCTGTTGGTAAAAAAAACACTTTTATAAAAGTAAGAAACATCAGACCATTTCATATATTTTATATACAAAAACTCATAAATACAATGTAAAAATATAACTACACATAACTGGACATTTAGGCCAAACAAGCAGAGATGTTCATAATGAAAATGAGAACGATGCTGAACACCAACAGGATCCAGATTTACTAATATTATCCAACAGAAATATCAGCTATTTCTATAACATTCATAGGTAATTATTTACATATTAACATGCAGAATTTCAGAAACAGAACCAGAAAATGTCTCAAAGTCAGCCGTCTGAAGGACGATCATCAGTTTTTATTTTTCCCGTCTCATCAAGCGTTTTCACTTTATCAGAATTCCCGTTTGTTTACACAAATATAAAATATTCATCAGGATTTTCTCACAATGAAGTGTGAAAACATCCCAGAGAAGTCTGAAAAACTCATTTTTAATAAAAATGCATTTTATGGCTCATCTGTGTTCTTTTATGCTTTATGTTTAAACCAAATATTCCACAGAAAATAAAGCAAATAAAACTGTAACTTAAATTTCCTAAATTTGAACGAAGGAGACAAAAGTCATTTTAATCCTCGAGTCATCTAAAAGGTGACAGAATGTTTTAAAAATCCCTTATTTGATATTTTGGTGACTAAAGGTTGGTTTATGCTTGACGCGTCCGCGAGGTCCGCACGGCTCCGCGCGGCGAAATTGCGTCATTTTAACAACCACGCCCCTCCACCGCGCCTCCGCACGGCCCAAACCTTCCGCAACACGCACCTAGAAAAATTTCTAACCACGCGGACGGTCGGACACGGAAAAACATGGCGGACCGGCAAGAACTAGTATGGCAGAGGTTCGTAGATACAGACATTTGTATGATTCAGCTCTCAGAGATCACCGTGATCAACATGTTGTTAATAATTCTTGGAGAGAAATAGCTCGCACTGTCGGAAAAGACGAGGACACTGTTAAAAATGCTGGAATGCCATGTTGTAAACAGTAATTTCTACTTCTACTATGGTGTAGTGTTGGATGCATGTAGTAGAGCTCCATGCTGCCCCCTACAGTTTGGGAGAATATTGGCTCACCGCAGAGACGAGCCGCATGAACCATAAACGCTGCGAGTTGTGAAGCGCGTTCCATCCGCGAGCCGCATCACCAAGCGGAAAGTGAATGAGTCAAGCTTAAACCAAGCTTAACACCGACCGGCCTCACAGGTGAACCCCACCTGAACCAGACTTACTTCTCAGAGTTCCAGGAGAAACAGCAGAAAAGGGAAAGTCCGACGTCTCATCTGAGCCTCTTAGGGACTCAAACATCTGATTTAACGATGAAGATGCAAAAACTCCACCAGGTCTGATCCAGTTGGGCTCACAGATCCAGCTTGGGTGAGACCTCCTGCTGGTTTTACCTTCTTTATCTGGGATTTTTCCGAGGAGTGAAATCAGAAGTAATTAAGTCAGAATTCTCAGGTTTGGTGAAGCTGTGCAGGTCAGAGGTCACCAGATAAAGCCTGCTGAGGACTCTGAATGTATTTTTGGTACTGTTGAGCTGAAACGACAGCATGAGAAGCTGCTGCTGAGTGCACAGACTGTCTATTACAGGGTCAAAGGTCGCCTGAAACATTTTGACCTTCTGATTAGAACAAGACTCCAAACTGTCCAGATGCTGGAGAAACATGGATGTGACTCCTGGTGCTTCCAGAGAAGGAGGATGGGAGGACTTCTGGTCTGACCAGAACTAAAATGAACAGATCTGGACTTTCTAGGTAGATCTGTCCGTCAGGGTCCTGCTCAGGTCTCACAGATCCGTATAAAACACACAGGAGTCCCGGGTGGAGGAGGACATGAGAACAGAACTCATCCTAAACCGGAGTTACTCAGTTGGAGGGATTTTATTCCAGTCTTTGAGTAAACTAAAAAAAGTTGTTCTGATCTGCTTGACCTGTTCCGTCGTGTCCGTGATCCTGATGTTCCCAGCCCCTGGACGGCGTTTGTCACTGTTCGGTTTAAAGGGCACCTGAGGACAAACCAGAGCAGGAAGTGCTGATTAAACAATGACAAGGCTGAGGAAAAACAGAAGAAATGGTCTGTTTCATGCGTCACCTGTCATCTCTGCTGCCGTCTCCTCGTCCTCCATCCTCTCCTCCTCCTCTTCCTCCTGCATCCTCTCTTCCTCCTCTCCCTCCTCATCCTCTCTGGCTGTCGACGGGCATGACGGTCGCCCTCGCTGTCTTTGGCTTTGTCGCACCTTGCGGATGGCGCCCTTCCTTCTCGTTCCCACAGAGGTGTTCTGAAGGACTCCAGGGCACAGACTGAGGGATGAGGAGGGACAGGAAGAGGACAAGGAAGCGGGTTTGGTCCTGGATGTGGGAATGTGGGACATGTTGGTGATTGGGGAAGTAGGTCGGGCCGAGGACGTGCAGGGATCCAGTCCGGGACGAATGTGGGACTGTGCTTTGTTGTGGTGCGGATGTGAGACTGAGGTGGAGGAATCTGGAGCCGTGGAACATCCGGCTGCTTCAACATCAGCGAGAATCCTGGTAGGAGAATCTGAGGAACACGAGGGAATCACAGACAATCCACAGACACCTGAAGCATCTGGTAGGAGAGAAGGTGTGTCCATACCAGGACCACTGCTGGTCTGAGACTCGTCTGTCATCGGTGGCTCCGCCTCCTCCTGGATCGTTGGGACTGAAGCCAGCAGACCTGAAACAGACGACAGCATTCGGGTTAAAGTAGACCTTCCAGTTACCAGTTCTGGATCACAAGCTCCAACCTCTTGTGACCCGTTTAAGCTCTGAATAATGTTTCTACCAGGGTGTCTATAGAACGTCAAAGGGGGCGGGGCTTTCCCACCTGAAATCTCATAAATTCTCATGAGGATTTTCTTTGCAACTTTGTCAACATGATGCAACATCAGACCATTTCTGATCAAGCCACACGTTTTGATGCATGATGTTCATGCTTTGGTGGGGTTTCTTACTGAGTCCTCTGTAATGAGAGAGCTGCTGGTAAACTTGTTTCATCCTCTCGATGTTGAGCCTGCTGCCCTCTGCGTGGTTGATCATGGGTTTGGGGTAGTGCACTCCCACCACACAGTTCGCCGCCTTCTGCAGAGACTCGGGGGCGTTCCACGGCTCGTAGATGTACCGGTTGGGATAGTCCTTTAGGATGGGGATGTAACGCCTACAGTTTCAACGAAAGAAAAATAAAAGGGCTAATCTTCAGAACTGCACATTTATAAGATTTTAAGTTTATCTGCATATCTTTAACGAGTTCTGACGTAATCTCTAGGAAACCTGCAGCCAGAGTCCAGTCACTGACTAAAGCAAAAACAGACCTGATGTAGTCTCCTGATGGGTCGGTTCTACGTCCAAAGCCCACGGGGCAGTAGCAGTGAAAGAACTGCTGGAAGAAGGCGCTGCAGGACAGCCACATCCAGCTGCCGGCGTTTACGCTCCAGTCTGCATCCAGCAGCAGCTCCTCAAACACCTGCGGGAGCACAAACGCAAACCATGTCATGTTTCTGCAAACCTGTCGACCCGGGCTGCACCAGGACACAACCGGCTCACCTTCATGCCGCTCTCCCAGCTGATCCACAGGTCGCCCCTGGTGAGGAAGCAGGCCACAGCATGCCGGGCCCGGTGGTGGATCCATCCCTCCTGCCTCAGCTGCATCATGATGGCGTCGATCCAGGGGAACCCAGTCCGACCCTCAGCCCACTTCGCCAGGGCTTCGGGGTTCTGGTCCCATGGGATCTGAGGGCCACGAGAAGACGCTCTCCAGTGAAACTAGAATCGATTTAAACTGCAACATTTCACCTGCCTGCTCCACGTCGGGACTCACCTGGACGCAGATGGGGTTTCCCTCCATGCGGTCGAAGTTTGGGTTGTTGGTGGCGGCGGTGTAGAAGAACTCCCTCCATAAGAGCTGGCCGTACAGCGACAGAGGGGGGGTGCTCCGCTTGCAGAGCTGGGGGTGACAAGATAAAGGCAGGCAGGTGAGCTCACACCTGTAACAAGGTCCAACACAGAACCGTTCTGTCAGGTTCTCCACACGTCTGATCCACACAGAACCAGAACCTTTCAGTGCCTCCTGCAGAACTACAGGACGGTTCACTGCAAGGTGTTCGTGGAAATGAGAACATTTACCCCAAATGACCCAAATAATTTTAAATCTGATCATTTCAATCCAAAGAAATTTTAAAGAGCGGCTCAGTAACACCAGAAGAGCCACAGAGGAAGGAAACTGTTGACCGGGCCAGTCCGGCACAAGGAGTCCGGTTTTTGTTCCAGTCAGAGAACGCAGCATGAAAATACATTCACGTCTGCAGGAACAGGAAGGAGCAAATGTGGTTTTATTTTTGAAACTGGGAGAAAAATATCAAATTTAGCCTCGCCTGGCAGTTCAACACCCAAGTAAAACCCATCTTAGTCCCTCAATGCTGTTGAATCTGGCACTGAACTGGAAATAAAACTATTAAAGTTAAAAAAAATGGAGATTATAGAACAAAAAGTTCAACGGCATTATTGATTTTAAATTAAAATAACCGTTGACTCAAACCTAACCCCCGGTGTGGAAGCTGACGGGCTAAAGTAACCTCAGAGGGAAGAAGAGCCACTGAAAGAGGATTCTGCTGGTTTGGTTTTGTGGACCGAGACCTGAGGGAACCGGCGCTGCAGGTGCGGTACCTTCATGTAGATCTCTCTCAGGTTGTAGTACAAAACCCTGCAGGACAGGCAGCCGAAGCGCAGGTACGGGCTGAGGCCCGTTGGACTGGCGTACAGCGAGCACGTCTTGACCCGAGTGCTGGCGACCCAAACCTGAGGAGGCGGACACACAGAGGACACGTGGGACGTCCGAGTTCAGTCTCCACCACCTGATTAGACATCAGCCGGAGGTTTACCTTTTTGTCCAGATGTCTGCTCAGCCGCTCCAGGGCCTCCGACTCTCCTCCCCGCCACACAGCTGGAGGTAAACCCTCCGTTCTGAATCCTGAACACAAAGCCATGTATTCTCATCTCTTTAATGATTAAAATAATGACTGATATAAAAAGCAAATGAGTAAAAAAGATTCAGTCAAAATGAAATCAAATGAAAATGTTCTGCGGTGTTCCCCGGGTTCCCTTTCAGGCCTTAATGCAGCTTTTCCGTTATTGTTGTTGTTATTATTCTTATTATTGTTATTACTATATTCTTATTATTGTTATTACTATTGTTATTATTATTATTGTTATATTATTATTACTATTGTTATTATTATTATTATTATTAATGGTGTTAATATTATTATTATATTACTATTATTATTATTGTTATTACTATGCTATTATTATTATTGTTGTTGTTGTTGTTATTACTATTATTATTAGTAGTAGTATTGTTATTATTGTTGTTGTTACTACTATTATTATTATTAGTAGTAGTAGTAGTAGTAGTATTGTTATTATTGTTGTTGTTATCATTATTATTAACAGAAGCTGCTTCTGAGCAGTTAGCACTCTGCTGCCGGTAAAATCCTCATCAACTCAAACTTTGTTTTGATTTTTATTCTGAAATAAAATCTATAAATCAGGAATCTCCCACCTTTTTTGGCTCCTGAGCGCCGAAGAGCTACTGCCGTACAATTTACTCACGTTGGTTTTTCCATGTGTGAACATGCTTGTGTTATAAAAGCTACAACTATGAGAGAGACAGATTGAGAGAGAGAGAGAGGGGGAGAGAGATAGATTGAGAGAGAGAGAGAGAGAGAGAGAGAGAGAGAGAGAGAGAGAGAGAGATTGAGAGAGAGAGATAGATTGAGAGAGAGAGAGAGAGAGGAGAGAGAGAGAGAGAGAGAGAGAGAGAGAGATAGATTGAGAGAGAGAGAGAGAGAGAGAGAGAGAGAGAGAGAGAGAGAGAGAGAGAGAGAGAGAGAGAGAGAGAGAGAGAGAGAGAGAGAGAGAGAGAGAGAGAGAGAGAGAGAGAGAGAGTGTTCACAATCGTGTCAATAAATGGGACATTTGTTGTAACTAAATCATGGGAGTTGTTCAGAGTTTGGAAGTCTGTGTTCATCATGTGTTCATCATGTGTTCATCATGTGTTCATCATGTGTTCATCATGTGTTCATCATGTGTTCATAGGCGAGCAACATTTAATTTGTGTTAAGCTGTTACTGCTGGTAGGACTTTACTGTCGGCCAGATTATTTAACTGAGGTCGAGGTCTGTACACGTCACCCCGTCTTCTGTAGAGGCGTGTCTTCAGCCCGCTCCAGCCACCGCCGCTGAGATCGAGCTGAGAGAAACGGGGATCCGTGCTGCAACCCCATCATTTCATCCGCGTATTTCCAGTAGAAAACGTTTGCCTAAAGATTTGTGCGATATTCTGATTTTTATTTTACTTCCACTGAATTAATTTTAGTTTATTACAGAAAACGGGGACGCTCCTCGTTAATTACAAGCCGGAATGGCTCGCTGGCTGATTCTGAAACACAATCTCACACCCAAAGCGTCCAAATATGACGCGTGTGACCAACCGTCAATATATGACGATTCGGGACGCCCCAGCGCGTCAGGAGACGACGATCAGGGACACGCAGGGACGCGTGGCTCCGCTGGCGTCACTGTTTGACGCCCGCGGTCACACGGACATTATTCGACTATTTAACCTTCCCCTCACCCCAATCCTAACCTTAAGGTCATGAACTGTGACCTTAAGGTTAGGATTGGTGTAAGGGGAAGGTTAAGTAGTTCACAAGTCGTTCTAATGTCTGTCTCACCACCGGCGTACGATACCGACGCTCTGGGACGGTGCGTCATCAGTGTGCTCCTGATCGTCGTCTCCTGACGCGCTGGGGCGTCCCGAATCGTCATATTTTGACGCTTTGGGTGTGAGAATGTGTCGGCTTCCAGGCGAGCAGCTCAAGTGCGTCGCGAGCGACATCGTGGAGACCCCCTGCTTTAGATGCACCCAAAGGTCACCCGGCAGGAACCACAGCAGCTCTCCTCAGGCTGACGGGACATCAAACACGTGCTCACCTAGTTCCTCCAGTGAAGGTATACTGTACAGCTGGTCGTGGTTGTCGGGTATTTGAGTGGGACATCTGTTCATCTGTTGTTGGGTGATGGGAGCCAGAGGTCTCCTTGGTAACTCCAGCCTGCTCACAATAGTCTGAAAGCGTTTAAAGGTCAGAGGAGGGCTGTTGTTGTTCATCTCAATGATCCTGCCACAGAAAAGAAAAAAGAGCACATTTGTTTGTCTTTAACGAGAAAGGGTTCCTCCTCTAGACACATCACCATAAACACGGAGCATAAAGCACCAGGGATCTGAAAACTATTCATCTCAACTTAAAGAAACAACACCGTCGTTTCTTCTTGGGGCGACGGTGGCACAGGAGTTAAGTGCTCGTCCCGTAATCGGAAGGTTGCAAGTTCGAGCCCCGCTCAGTCTGTTGCTGTCGTTGTGTCCTTGGGCAAGACAATTAACCCACGCTAAATAAATCTTATTTGCATTACTTGAAACCCTAGTGAGTTATTGAGACAGTTCTTTGGTGTGTAATAGAGAAATAAGTTTGCATTTAAAAGCAGCGAATGATGGGTTTAAGCTTAAGAAAATTTTTATTTCTTTTTTTTTTGTGAGGGAGATTTATCGGCCATTACATCGGCTATCGGCCTTTGTTAAAAGTTTTATATCGGTATCGGTGCCAAAAAAAGCATATCGGTCGGGCCCTGTTTACAACATAAAGTTATAAATCCAGAGGGGTGAATTTAGGCAAAGTCAGCAACATGTTTACATCGGTGAACAGCTGCAGAGAGAACGTAAGCTAATGTTGGTACGCTAGTTAGCATACCGCTCTCTATGAGCCCCGCTAGATGCGTTACTTCTTCTGATAACTGAACTGGGCATGGACTAGTTGAAGGAATGCTGGAGGAGTTTTGTTTTTGTTTTGATCGCAAAAACAATTTCAGGCCCTACTTTTCCCTTTGTTTAGTACTCGCGTCGCTCACTGTTTACATGCTTTTGCCGTCCACCATGGTGGACCCACGTGATTAGGTGACGTCGGTGCAAAGGGTCAATACAGACACACGTTTCCCTCCTAACGTATGTACGGTTTATGGGCTATAAATAATTAGACTAATAATTTAAAGCATTTTCTATAATTTATTAATCAAATCAAACTATAAAGAGACTGCTAAACATCTGAAGATTTAGAATCTGAGAAGCACCAAAAGGGAGGATGAGTTGGTCGACCGATCTGAAACTCAAATATCTGATTTTCCCCCAGTGTTTGAACACACCACTGACGGCAATAAAATGTTTCCTGAACACATCATCACCAAACCATGCAGTCGTTTCTTTTCCTTTTGGATGTTTATATTTAGAAATGAGACATTTAGGAACGATTTCTAAAAACTGTTTTCTGTTAATGACAGTCGATGCTTCTCCATTTTAATTACTGTTTAAAATGCACCCATGGGGAGCAGAGCTTTCAGCCGCTCTGCTCCCCGTCTCTGGAACTCACTCTCCCCAGACATCAGGAACATCGACAGTTTTACCCTTTTCAAAACCAAACTCAAAACACACGTTTTAATCCGCCTATGACCTCTGATTTTATTGAACTGTTTCTTTGTTTTTTCTTCTTTGCATTTTATTGGGGTTTTATTGCTGTTTTAATTTATTTTCTGAATGTATATTCTGTCATGTGACCTTGGGTTTTCTGAAAGGTGCTTTTAAATAAAATGTATTATTATTATTATTATTAAAAAACCTTTGATGTTTGGTGACGAATCAACAATTTGGGTAGTTTCTACCAAAAGGTTGAGGGTTCGATTCCCAGATCTGTGTTTTCAACATGTTCAGATGTTGGAGATAAACAATGAAATTCCTCCTAAACTAGTTATAAACCAGGTGCCTCCCATTGGCTGCCTGGCTCTTCTCTGTCGCACTAATCTGTGCACATTCCCTCCACCCCTCGCTGGTACACTAACACAAAGGTCATGAATAATCCCGCCGTTACGTAACGCGGTGCTGTAACACTATGCTGGGTCACGCAGAGGAGAAGGTTCTTCACTCTCCATTACTACTACCAGCTCCTCCCTGCACATGGATGGGAGGTGTGACCTGTAATTCCAGCAGGAGGCCACTGGGGGGAGCATTGAGCTGTAAACATCTACCATCTCTGGGTTTTGTTTTTACCCCAAATTCATTTTTCTGTTTTGTTTTAAGATCATAAAAAAACACAATTAGAAAGAATATCAACAGAAAAATTCATATTTGGAGGAAAAAACAAACATTTCATTTGATTTTCTAAAGCGCTCACCCTCCCAGGGTTTTATTCAGCCTTTTCTGAAGCAAACATTAGCTACTTTCTACAATCAAAATCAAACAATGACACCAAAAATTAACAATTTCACGGTTTTAACAGATTCTGGAGTCATGTGGGTCTTCCTGCGTCAGGCTGGAGGTGACTCCGGCAGAAAACAATCCTCCAGATCTCATTAACGCTATGGAGGCCGGCGTTGCAGATTTAAAACCTACCTATCTGGTTACTCCACATACGTGTTTCATGAGCATTTTTTAACTCAGAAGCTGGGACGTAATTTTGGGGGGGGACGGGTGGGACATGTCCCCCCCACTTTTTCAAAAGGCAGTTTTGGTCCCCCGCACTTTTTTCCGTCCAAAAACAATGTTACGCTCCATTAAATGGATTTGGTTGAGCACTAGGACCGAAACGGAAACCGGTTTACTATTAGACCCGCCCAAAAGCTAATCTATTGGCTCTGCTGATACTTGCTAACGTATTATTGGCTGTTGCTGCTGTCACTCAAGTTGGAAACAGTCAGAACGTGCTCACGTTGTTTTGCTAGTTTGGAGCCGCTAGGGAACACCGGTACTGAGTCACATCGTCAACTAGACGCTGTGTAATATCAGAGCTCAGCTCAGCTTCCATTACATAACATTTGAATAAGTGTTCATTTGTGAGTCTTTGGTAGTTAGGCACAGCCAGGAGGCAGCATGTCAAGAAAACGAAAAGTGGATAGAAGAGACTTCTTTCAAAGTCTAAACGTAAGTTGGAACATGTGACACCGCTGCATTAAGCTCAGACTCACCTCCTCCTTCACAAACATACTCAAAACTAACTTTTACAAACTCATCTCCTCCACATAACTGACTCCTCAGACACAATTTATTCGTATTATTATAATTATTATTATTTTTATTATTACTATTATCATAATTATTATTACTAGTAGTAGTAGTAGTAGAAGTGTAACTTCAAAACTTTTATCATTTAACTTTATTGTAAACTTATCTATTGCAATGTATATGTTCACATTAAAAAGCTCTGAAAAATGAACAGTATCATCATCGTCAACAGATTTTTTTAAGCTTAATGTCAAAGATGTACACTTTTCATTAGATTTATCTTATTTTTTCCATTTATTTTTTGTGTGTTGAAATGCAACAACTGTTTAAACACTTTTAAGGGAAAAACATATTTAATATGTTTTTATACACTCAAATGTTAGGGTGATGATCATGTGTAAAACATTAGTTCAGCATGTCCTCTAACACAGCAAATGAACAAACGGCCAGATCTCAGGAGGACCGTTTATGTATAAATAATTTTTATACTTTTGACTAGGCCTGGGAAAGTAACACATTTTGCTGGACGATATTTTGTCCAACAAATTGTTGATGATAAACGATATCATTGTGTACATTATCTAGACCAAAATAACCACTAATATAATGTTAATATATCATAATAATGCAAGTACACCCTTTAAAATGCAACAAATGAACCTTCATTTAACATTGAAATGTCCAGAACCAGAACTTCTAAATGAATAAAAATAACAAACAAAAATTAAATAAAAAAGGAATCTAACTCCCTGTTAGAAAATGTTGCACCAAAAACAATAAAAAAAGACCCAAAACAATAAATGCAATGGCCTATCCATTGTCAACAGCCAAAACTGCACTTCAATAAGGATGGAAAAATTATTGAGATCGGCACGTGACGTGTCAAGGGGTCTTTACATAACACCCCCCACCCCAAATCCGCACAAGCCTGCTGTGTCCCCCCCACTTCTGAAATCAAAATTTCGTCCCTGCTCAGAAGTACCCCTGAAGTAGAGCTGAGGAAAATAATTAAATAATCGATGCATCGGGATGCGGACATAAACGATTCTGCGTCGTAGAAGAGTACGCCATAATCAATTATAGTGGAATGTAGTTTTGTTTCTTTAACGGCGGCACCAGCGCAGCATCCAAATCTGTCAGAGTGAGCGTCCTCCACATTTACCAAGTGGTTCCACCTTAATGTGGTACTGCAGGGCTGAGTGCTTGAGTTGAAACCGGAGACCGAACCAGAACCGAATCAGCCTGACCGGTTCTGTTGGATTTGGGCTGTGAATTATGTTAATTGAGCGGGTTGTCACGCGGCGCGCTCCGCTCACTTGCAGAGCAACTGAGAGAGGGAGAGAGGATCGGAGGACGCTCCTCCAAACACGCATTATTATTTTCATAATTTAATTATTATTTCTCCTGGAAGCGCTCAGTCAGACCGACTGTTCTGATGCCGAGAGATCCGGTCTCGGGGGAGGGGGCAGGGTGAGTGACGGCGGCTGCAGCGTGATCGTCTGTCTTTTATTTAGGGACACGGAGAAGTTAAAAGGAGAGAAATAGAAGATAGAAGTTCTTGTTCCACTTTATTCTTTTGTTCCATGATGATAAACTGATGTTAAATTAATCTTAAAGAGAAACTGGGAGGAAGCTTTGGTTCATTTTAGGTTACAGGAGGTCTTGTCTCCCATCTGCTCCTCCAGAGACAGCATGGACATGAGGGTTAAAGGGTGAGGGTCACACAGGACAGGTTAGTGGAAAGGTTTGTAGTTAGCTGGTTAGTGAAGGCGATCCATCAGCTGGTTAATTTAATCCTAATCCAGCCCACAGCCTTCTGCTGGTGTTATTATCAGAAAGAATAAAACACACATCTTAAATATGATTGGAAGTGTAGAATTAGTTTTATGTTTTATTATTTTCTGCATCAAACAGAACTTGATTCATTCTCCAACATTTCAGAAACGAACCACTGGGTTCAAATAAAATTAAGTCAAACATTTCATTTGCTGTTATTTCTGACAGACTTCAACTGTGGCATAAACATCTGACTCTAGAGCTGCTCAGAGACATTAAACACTCATATATGAACCCATTATGTATTTTATTATTACATTATGTGTCCTGTAGGTTTTCAGTACTTTTTTAGATTTTGTGTGTGTTTCTCAGCCTGAGGCGTGGTGTTGAACGAGGAAACAGATGTTTTACTTTGTTAAATCTTCTTAAATGTTTTGTCCTAACCTGTTGTGAATGGAGAGCTTTTGAGGGATGGCAGGTTGTGTCACTTACGTTTTTGATAAAAAAAAATTTAAAAAAAGCAATTATCTGACATCTTCTATTTATCAATGAAAACAAATCAATGTGAAATAATCGTGATGCATCGGGATATCGAATCAAATTGAATCATTGACCCAATAATCGTAATCGAATCGGGAGACAAGTGAAGATTCACATCTCTCCTGAAGGACTTAGTTGTTTGTCCTTTTATCAAAACTTATTTTGAGCCTGAGAGCGTTAAATATCAAAGTTTTAGTGATTTTAGATTTAACTACTGAAGGCAAAGCTCCGGCCAGCTGTGTGTCAACAGATCACACGAGTGAGATTTTTGATTTCCAGTTGTAGAAAAAAACCAGAAAACCAAAGAACAAACATCCATTTTCTGAACACGCTTGTCCACGTGGGGTGGGGGGTGCGGGGGGGCTATCTCCAGCGGTTGATGGGCAATCAGGCGGGGTACACCCTGGACAGAGAGCCAGTCCATCACAGGGCAACACAGAGACACACAGGACAAACAATCATGCACACACACACACACACACACACACACACACACACACACACACACACACACACACACACACACACACACACACACACACCTAAGGACAATTTAGACAGACCAATCAGCCTAACAGTCATGTTTTTGGACTGTGGGAGGAAGCCGGAGTACCTGGAGAGAACCCACGCATGCACAGGGAGAACATGCAAACTCCATAAAGAAAGATCACCGGCTGGGAAGCGAACCCAGGACCTTCTTGCTGCAAGGAAACAGCTCTAACCACTGCGCCACTGCGCAGCCCCAAAGAACAAACATTTATCAGGAAAAAGACGCAGCAGAAATCTGTGTTTCTCATAAATGTTCTTTTAACCCTTTTTGTCTGCAGTAACAGAAAAACCAGGTCTTACTGTTAAACTGTGCATGAGCCAAAGAACTAAACCAGTTCCAGCATCCAGTGAGAAAGCACTATTGCTGTCCTAAACAACCATTTCTACTGCTGAAGTGCAGATGATGAGCAGCACGGAAATATAAAAAGAAAGATCTAAATGTGAAAATCTTTATTTCTGGAAGCAGTTTCTGGGTCTGATCAGATTACCCAGCGAGGGATTACACACCTGTCCAGGTTGTAGAGCGTGTGCGAGTTTCTGACGGCTGTCTCCACTCCGAACTCTTGGGCCATCTTGATGATAGCGCCATCCCTCTCCTTCCCATATGGCTCAGGGTCGTATTCGAGGGTGAGCCGGGTCACGTTCCACTCCTGCAACGAAGAGCACACCAGGTGTCCATCCTGTCAGCTAAGAACAGGAAACCGATGCATCCATTCCCACAGGATCACCAGAACTGGACCAGATGAAACTGGTTTGATGAGTCCTGATCTCAGCTCCATCCTAACCCTGACCCATCTTCAGGGCCATGCACCATGTCACAAAGCTCAGATCATCTCTAACTGGTTTCTAGACGATGACCACTGGAGTCTAGCAGCATCCAGTCACCAGATCCCAGTCCAGTCCAGAACTTCTGGGATGTGGTGGAATAGGAGCTTCTCATCATGGAGCTGAGGTTGTCATGTCAGGACGGACCAGAACGTCTGAGGACCACCTTGTTGGATCCATGACACCAAGAATTGACGAGTAAAGTAAAGAGAGGTCTGGCCCAGCACTAACCTGGTCAACCTTCTTATTCCTAATAAAGTGGCCATGGAGAGAAATTACTAAATTACAATCAACAATTTTCCCCTAAAATCCCAAAATGATTGGATGGTCTAAAGATTTGAAATCTAAAGATGAGAAACAGGTTCTAACCTTTCCTCTGCAGACATCAACCCGAAATAACGTAAGCGTAGCTTTAACTCATCTCTGACCCACAGAGGAAAGGTCTGCAAGGTCAGGCTGAAGGACGATTTCCCTTCCAGCTCTACGGGGAACATCCCTGTTGTTAACCTGCAGTGACTTCCTGCGTCTGGTTAAAAACAACAACCTGCTGCTGGCAGACTCTCACTTTCCATGATGGAAAAACCAGCGATGCTTTTGGCATCAGAGTGGATGATCAGAGCCGCCCGTCTCCACCTGGTTCTGATCCTCCACATGAATGTTAAAGGTGTGTTTGATGCGTTTTGTCCTATTATTTTATTAAGTTGTGCAGGAAGAGGGTTGTAGCAGAAAACAATAAGAAAAACATCCTTCCAACTAAACAACGTCCGGTTCTCATAAATGTGCTGCAGACTGACTCATTACCTCTGGGTTCTTGCACTATAATAAAACCAAATTAAAGAACATTTCAAACACTCCGACATGTTTTTGCTAATAAAATAAATGTTATTTAATTTAGCATCACCATACGTGTGTGAGACAGTAACAGAACATCTGGATACAGACCTTAAAAAGCCTGGGGAAGACATCGGTGGGTTGACCTCTGACTACAAACAGCCTGGAGTTGAGCTTCTTCAGACTGCTGTCCAGGTCCTCCAAAGCCTCCAGCAGAAACCTGCAGACAGAAGGCATGATGGGAGGATCAAACACAAGTACCAAACTACAACTGCTTCAATGCTGGGAGGATGCAGCTGGTTCCATGTGCTTTTATTGTTCATTTCTTTCTAGATTTAAAGAAAATGGGGTGGAGGCAGATTGTTATGTATTTTATTGCAACAAAAATACCTTCAGCTCTTGCTGGGTAGGCTCGCGGCCGAGTGTGAAGCAGCTGGGATGAGGATCAGCACCTCCAAATCTGAGACCATGGTTCTCGACCGCAAAAGGGCGGCTTGCCAACTCTGGGTCGGGAGAGAGGTCCTACCTCAAGTGGAGGAGTTTAAGTATCTCGGGGTCTTGTTCACGAGTGAGGGTAGGAGGGATCGGGAGATCGACAGGCGAATTGGTTCGGCGTCTGCAGTGATGCGGACGCTGAGCCGATCTGTCGTGGTGAAGAGGGAGCTGAGCCAGAAAGCCAGGCTCTCGATTTACCGGTCGATCTACGTCCCAATCCTCACCTATGGTCATGAGCTTTGGGTAACGACCGAAAGAACGAGATCGCGGATACAAGCGGCCGAATTGAGTTTCCTCCGTAGGGTGGCCGGGTTCAGCCTTAGAGATAGGGTGAGGAGCTCGGACATTCGGGAGGGACTCGGAGTAGAACCGCTGCTCCTCCGGATCGAAAGGAGTCAGTTGAGGTGGTTTGGGCATCTGGTCAGGATGCCTCCTGGACGCCTCCCTGGGGAGGTGCTTCAGGCATGTCCTGCCAGCAGGAGGCCCCCGGGTCGACCCAGGACACGTTGGAGAGGTTACATCTCCAATCTGGTCCGGGAACGCCTTGGGGTCCTGCCGGAGAAGCTGGTGGAGGTGGCCGGGGAGAGGACGGTCTGGAGCTCCCTAGTTGGGATGCTGCCTCCGCGACCCGGACCCGGATAAGCGGAGGAAGACGACGACGGCGATTGCAACAAAAAGGCTGAAATCTAAATCATGCAAACAAAGAAATAAATGAGATCAGGGTTTCCCTTACATAGGAGTGAAATCCCACCGCCACGCCTACAAGATCCCAAGTTTTTTTTGCGCTGTTTCCCGAAGAAACAGCGGGAACTACTATGTTGTCGCTTGTGATCACAGCCACACCGGCAGCAAGGAGGAGAAGGCAGGGCAAGGTGAAGTTACAGCATAAGTTACTGAGTTTAAAATTGGAAAGGTAGCAGTGGATGTAATGCTTTTTGGTTTACATGTTTCAATAGCATTAAGATAAATGAGTGTTGACGATCTTGACAGGGTTTCCTCCCCCCACCAGGCTAAGCATCACTTATTCATGTAAAATTTATTTATTTTTTCATGTCTGACTTTAACCGCATCTAATCCTGTATTACGGCGTGAGCGCAACAGCGACAACTTAAGATCAATGTGTGAGCAGCCTGAGAGGTCGGGTGTTTTCATCTGAACCCTTAAAACCTCCAGCAGGCTACGCTGCACTATTGACGTTTTAGCATGTGGCGCTAACAACTTAGCGACGTGACATGTCTCGGAGAAAGCGTAAAAACACGTTGGACGCTTCTTCTGAAGCGGGAATATAACACCTCTTCTTAAACAGAGCACGACGTCGCCTCGGCTCGTTAACGGCCGAGCCGGACTGAGCTCGATAACATTGACCCAGCACAGCCACTGGGTCGTTGGAGCTGCCCCGTGACTGCCTGATGGAAAACCAGCGGGTTTCATCAGACTCATAAAGTTTCTTGTTTTTGCTGGGGACCCCCTGTATTTTACAGCTCCCTCCTGCAGTCTTCCCCTATTAACATTTAAAATGATCCTGTAAACTCCGTGTACCAATAGAAAAAATCTCTGCCTCTGCCAGCTGAAGCAAATGTAGTCTCCAAATAATAAATAAGAGGTGCATTCATCTGTGTATCTCCTTTGATCCGCATTAGTGATATTCTCAGCATCAGAACAGTGAAGCAAAGAAACAGATTCCTGAGTTTGTTAGTCATTTTATTTATTAGGTGCATCTAACCTGTTCTATTTTTCTCTGAAATGAGATCAAATCAGTGCTTCTATGGGTTGTCTCCACTCTGCACTAGAAATTTTGAGAGGTTGAAAACACCCAAGGTGTGTGAGGTCCATCTTCATGGCTTCTATGCAATTCCAGATCAGCTTAAAACAAACAACAGATCCATCCTAAACTCTATTCTGTTTATTTATTAGCGCTAACTCGTCTCAAGGCTTTTCATAAACGGACTCAGCTGGACTTTTAAAGCTTGATTAGCTGATTCTACATGTAAACACTCTGGGGACTGGATGCTGATGAGGTCAGTTTTCAGCATGACAACTCAAACTGGGACTTTACATTAAAACATACTCTGATTACTTTTCTGTTACTTTCACCAAACTCCGGTCGGGTTAGTGAGCACATTTACTAACCACAAACACTGAGTACGGTAACTAGAATGTTATATCCCTTTTGTTTTATTACTAACTTAAGCGGTCGCTGAGATGTTAATATATAACCCGAATTTATTCAACTGTATTGAGTTTCCTCAGGAAATTAACGTTGTATCTGTAAACCAGATTTTGGAGGCGGGAAACGAGAATAATGTAAAAGTGTGTGTTTCTCCTCCGATGTTCGCCATGGGGCTATGTAGCAGTTAGCTAACCAAGCGGAGGCCTGGGCTAGTGCTAAACACCAAACATAAAAATGGCGACACTAAAAACACGAGCCTAGTTAGACGAGAGCTCGTTTACGGTAGGAATTGTAAAAAGGAACGTTTAAAGACACAAACCTCCATCGGTTGATGCCAACGTTAGCTGCTCCAGCGAACCAGGGGTCCAGGATGTAAACACAGCGCACCGTGTCAGCCCCATTCAGGGCCTCCTGTAGCGCCGGATTATCGTGCAACCGCAAACCTTTGCGGAACCAGTGCACAGAATTCACAACCATACTGTCCGATTACTGGATCATCAGAGATTCACTCGCGAAATCAAAGTGCTGCAAAAATCCACTGAAGGAGGTGAAACGAGGACAGCTGCAGAGACTTCAAAAACTTTGCCAACGTTGGGGGCGTGGTTACAGCTTCGTGGGCGTGGATTAGGGTTTGGGTTAACAACGTGACTTACGAAACTGTCGAGCTGTGATTGGCTGATCGGGCAAAAGGCAGAGACGAGCTGTGTCACGTTTGCGTTCTGCGTCGGATGCGGGTTGATCAGGTGGAGGTCCGAAGTGTGCGGGAGGAGAGGTTGAAAACAGGTTTCAGTTTCAGAGGCCGGAGACCGTTGAGATCTGTCAGGTCATCTGATGTGAAATTATTGGAATAAAAAAAAATCCTCGAACTAAAACAAATTCGTGAAGTCAAAATGATGTCAGGCATGGACGTAATTTTTTTTTGGGGGGGAGGACATGTCCCCCCACTTTTTCCAAAGTCAAGTTTTGACCCCTGCACTTTTTACCATCCAAAAATATTACGCTATATTAAATTGACACTGGTTGAGCTCTAGGACCAAGTGGAAAACAACCGTTTGTGTTGAAGCCTGTTTCCCATTAGAGCATACTGTAAAGATACCCCCCCCCCCCACCCCCACTTCTAAAGTGGGAATTACGTCCACACAGGCTAGGCTTTAATTTTACGCCATTGAGCTCAAGCTGCTCAGCCAGACTCTTACTGCCACCAGGCAAAATAATGAGATTAAAACGAATAGTCTATGCAGTTTAACCCTGATGTGGCCAACGTTTTGAATGCTAACTCTGCATTTACAGCAACCTGCTCTAAGCAGGGTCATTTAAATCCACTTTACAATTAGCTGTTATTTAACTATGCTAGAGTTCAGCTGTTGGACCATCTGAATGCTTCTCTAGATGGTTATGGAACATGTTACACAGAGCATGTCCAGATCTTAACCGTGTGTTGGTTAACCTTTTGGTGCAGCCCTTTCCACAGGTTTAACGTTTACCTTTATTTAAGTTTTGCTGCAGGACATTTAAACTTAAGTACATTCATAACTTTAGCCACTATAAGATGAAAGGATCTCAATAGACACTTTGAGCTACCTTCATAATCCAGGCTTTTATTTTATAGAGTGGGCAACAACAGAAACCATAAATTAGAGTCCTTAATCTCCATTATCCTTTGACTTGATCCTTGTGATGGTGCCCCTTGCCGTGGTAGTGATGATGGGGTTCACCAATGTAGAGTTGTGTTGGGGTGTAGCGGAACTGGTTGAACAGCAGGCGCTTGCGGTTGTAGTTGGACCGAGACTTGAAAGCGTACACCTCATCCTCGTCCTCTACAGGAGTGAAGACTGGCTCGTCCTCACCGCTGGTATCAGAGGAAGAGCTCCAGCTCTCCTCCGTCTGCTGGTAAGGGCCACTGCTGCTGCCTGGAGCTTCATGCTGACCAGTCCGAGGGACGACCTGCTGGACCAGATATGGAGAACCACTCCCATCGCCAACAGTGTTGGTGTTGCTGCTGTAGTAAAGTGCTGGACTGCTGCCATAACCCACAGGACCACTGGATTCATCAGGATAGCCGCTATAGCCCACATAGCCACTAGCCTGTCCTACTGGTTTCTCATAGGCTGGTGGGGACTGAGCTTGTCCAGAAGGTGAAGCTGCATACATCCACATGGGTGGTCCACCTCCACTGGCTGAAGAGAAACAGAGGACATGTCAGCTGCTTATCTCAGGTGAGCTGCTTTGGTTAAGAGTCACCTTACCTCCTTGTTGAGGAGCACAGGAGATGCTACCAACCAGCAGGAGAGAAACCCACAACATCCTGCAAGAACATCTCAGGTTAAAAACACATTCCAGACTAGAAACTCCAACATCTGCTCTCCAGCCAGCATGCTTCATCCTTTAAAAACCTGGATGGACTCACCTCATTCTGCTGCCTATGCTGCGACCCTGACACGATCACAAAGTCAAGAACCTTCTGACAGTGACTCCAAACTGCAGGAGCTGGTTTTATATGATCCTCAGTGCAGCTGCAGCTGATTGCTGAGTGGGAACAGCTGCTGCAGGAAACAGACCAAGAACAGGTTGTTTCTGGTCACCTGGACTCACGTCTCAGAGCAGCTTGCAGGACTCGTATTTGTGTTTAGTTTGGTGTAGTTTGCACAAATATATCCATCATAAAACAACAGAAAACACTACATAAAGAGGAAAATATAAGAAAGCACATCAAAACAATAACAAAACACATTTGTTTCTTCTAAAAGAATATAGTAAGGGAAGTTTTTTTTATATATACCTCCCATTTTTGATGAGGAATCACTTCTTGACAAAACTATCATTCATTTTTAAACATGAGGTTTTCTGATAACGGGGTTAGCGTTAACCCTAACTCCACCACTGCTGGATAGGCCTATCTGGATCTGAACTGAATGGTTTTCCCGTTATCTGCTGAGCGTTCCCAAAGTCAGAGACTCTCTTGGTCAGCTTGCTTCTCAGACCAAACCCTGTGTCAGGAATCATGGTGTGACCTTTGACCCAGATCTCACCCTGGATTCTCATGTCACTTCTCTTGTTGGCTCTTCCTTCTTCCATCTCAGGAACGTTGCTAAGCTGAGTCCCATTCTGTCTCGCTCTGAACTTGAGACAGTTCTCCACACCTTCATCTCCTCACGCTTAGACCACTGTAACTCTCTTTTCACGTGTCTGAGCAGAACCTCCCTGAACCGTCTACAGGTGGTTCAGAATGACCAAGTCCTCCAAACACACCCACATCACCCCGCTTCTCCTCCAGCTTCATTGGCTGCCAGTCCACTTCAGGGTTCATTTCAAGCCTTACATGGACAAGCACCATCATACATTGGTGATCTTCTATGTCCCTTCACCCCCAGCAGGTCCCTGAGGTCCAGTGACCTCAAATTATTCAAAATGACAGTTCTACACTTTCAGATTTAGTTTGATGGATTTCTGGAATGTTTAAGCTGTTCTGTAGCTTTAAACCTGTTCAGACCTTTAAAAGGTGCAGTATGTAAGAATTCAGTGAGAAAATCCCAAAAGAGTCTGTTTCAGTCATTTTGGAAGGAAGGTAACTGAAACATTTCATATCCAGCTGGCTGTGGGGATTGTCAGTTTTTCTCCTTTCCAAACAAAGGAAGGAGGGACGTAACTACTGTTTACTATCAGTTAGTGTGGGGTCACCACATCTCTTGCTAGCTAAAGCTGCAGCGCCAACAATTGTAATTTGATGGCCGGCAAAAATCAGTTGTCTAAAGTGGTTGCAGCAGAGGCGATTCTAACATCAGGGGTTTAGGGGTGCTGAGCACCCAGAGATCTACCCGGTCAGGCAAGATAAATTTCAACATTTTCTACATTTTAACACAATTTCATTCTCACATTCATGACATTAAACAAAAACACTGTTTTCACTAATCAAATCACAGTTTTAAACATCACAATCTGCATGTTTTACAGGTTCTGCTAACACTGTAGCAGAATCTGGTCCAGGTATGGAGAGTCTAGGTCAGTGGTTCCCAATCTTCTGTCCTGGAGGATCCCTTGGCTGCGTGGTAATCTCACAATCTCAGCACAAACATGTTGTAGAAGAAGAAATGATCTTTTGTATAGCGCCCTTAGAGATAAAAATCACGACGCACTTTTATGTGCTGAAGTCCCACAAATGTGGCGGGGATCCCCTTCACGAACCCCAAATTGGGAACCACTGGTCCAGGTGTTGTGGTTTTAAAATGTGAGCAGATTAAAGAAGTTCAGCGACTGGAACGTGATGAAGGAGCTATTCCTCCAAAAGTATCTGACTCTTTCCACAGTTCCTTTTGACACAGCGCCAGAGTGCATGAGACAGCCTCAAGGTCAGGCATTTGCTTCTAAACTGTTTACTTTCCAGCAATGAAGACAGAAGATGAAGAGACTCTTTTCTTTCATCAAATCAAAGAACTCTATTTTCAATAAAGCTAATCAAAACAACTGTTAGTCAATAATACAATGTGACCGATCTGTGAAATCACAATATTAAGATTAATATGTTTTTAATAAGTAAATGACTTACTCTAGTCACTAGACACGCTGATACACTAAGGTAAATAATCACATGACACGCATTGCTGTTGCTGATCCAATCAGAACCTTCCTATTCTGAAGCGTGGCAGAGTCTCTGTGGTGTTTATGAATCTGCCAGCTTTGATTCGTCCAGAATCAAAAACATCCAGATTAATAAAACAGTTCCAACGCCATCTTAAGTTCAGTATTCAAGATCCCATGAAGTTCACCGCATGCTAAGTGAAGTATGGACAGGCCATCTGTACTTCTCTTTCTAAGCTGAGAACCATTCAAGCTGGGAAAAATCCGTTGTTTTTACCAACAAGCAATGGTTTCTTCAAAATAAAAGCTGAACTCGCTGACCCAAGGAGGGCCCCCTTTTTGACGCTGTGAAACACCTGTCGCTTTTTACCTGGAGACTATCCAAAGACTGGTTTGTCGTGCTGTGACGCTGTTCCATTAGCTCCAGTACCGAAAGGAGGGTCCGTGGACCTGGCATCCGGATCTGTGTGGAGGTCTCACTGAGGGTCTGTGGTACAGCGTCACAGCACGTTTAACATTTGGAAAACTGAAATTGAAGCCAATGTTTTAGCTCTGTCTGAATTTCCACAATAGAATGACATAAACGACAGGAACCATACAATTACATTTTATTATCAAAATGCAAGCTATCAAATTCCAAGACTTGGAAAAGTTCAAAACGGCACAAATAACATATAAAGTAAGAGATCAAATGCTTCCAAAAGAAGTTAGTAAAACGTTTATAGACAGAGAAGGTGGGTACAACCTAAGAGGGAAATGGAATTTCAAAATACAAAGTGCCAGAACTACTTTAAAAAGTATGTTTATAGCGGGAGTAAAATTATGGAACAGCCTAACCGAACAAATAAAAGAGAGTAATAACTTAAATCACTTGCATAGTAAATATAAAAAACACATTTTAAATGGATATAAGAATGAAGAGATTGGGGTTGAAGCAGGTCAGTAATGTTGAGGGTGATAGGGTTGGGTTGTTTGTTACGTATTTTGTGAATTAGAAATGTGCATATGTATGCTGTGAAAGTAAATATGATGTGGTGGGGTTTGTTTATGGTTTATTTTGTTTGAGGTGTATTTGATGCATTGGTATGTTTGGTTCGTTGTTTGACGTTTGTTTTTTATTTTGTCTGAGTGCGTTAAGACTTAAGGGTAGGGCTAAATGCCTACACCGTTTCAAACACGTTGTTTGAACGATGAGGACTGTGAATGTATGTTTGAAACAAAAAAGAAATGAACTGAAAAGTACCAGTAATGTTTTTTAGATCAATTTATACTTATTTTCACGTTATTGTCCAGAAATATCAACATCCCATTGAAAATAAATCCAAACTTTTTTGATAATTTCTTTGTTTTTCTTAATTTTTAAAAACTACCAAAAACAAAATGGTGGTTTTGCAAAAATGACAACGAATCTCTAACAGATGTTTAGGGGAGAGAAAACACTGACTTTGATCTCTGACAAAAGTTAGATTTAAACTTAATGTTCTGACTTTTTCTCGTAAGAATAATCAAGGCTTTTAACTATTTCAACTGTTCTGGCTCTGAAACAACGCGACCACCTTGTCTGTGTTAGTTGCATTATTGAGCTTCTGTAGCACCAGCCTGTCCGATTACTGAGCAGCTTTAACTCATCTCCCATTGGTCCAGGATCACTCCCGTGACCGAGCTCTGGACCTGCCTCCTAGCTTGACTGACAGCCGCTTTTCTCACCGTTTATAAAAGATTCAAACACAAAATGTTAGACAGTCAAATATTCTGGACCGTCCCACAGAAAGCGTGAACCTTGGTCACCCTAAAGCAGCACATCAGAAAGGCTCAGCTTGTCTGGGGAAGATCAAACTATTTTAGACAGATACAATTTAGTTTATATTTGGATCTATTGTGGGGTTTAGATTTGCGTAAAACCCAATAGTAAAAAACTTTCAGGAACCCCATAAACAGGGTAGAAACACCCACTGGCTGCAGTAACCAAATTTTACCACAGGATGTCATTTTTACCCAATGAATCTTAAAATCATGTGTTGCAACATTTAGCTTTGCAATGTCTATTGCCCTGAAAAGTTCTTAAAAGCTGTTAGGCATTGCATTTCATTAAAACACTAAAAACAAATTCGGCTTTAAGCTGTTGCAGATCAGCACTCTAATGTCAGGGAGGTAGGAGAGGCAAGAATTGAGAATTAAAGTTTATTAGACCTAGTCATTCAAACATTTGCAGCTTCAACACCTGTAAAACTAAGTTCAGTATCCTTTGACTTGATCCTTGTGATTGTGCCGGTGGTGGTGGTGGTGATGGTGATGGGGTTCACCAATGTAGAGTTGTGTTGGGGTGTAGCGGAACTGGCTGAACAGCAGGCGCTTGCGGTTGTAGTTGGACCGAGACTTGAAAGCGTACACCTCATCCTCGTCCTCTACAGGAGTGAAGACTGGCTCGTCCTCACCGCTGGTATCAGAGGAAGAGCTCCAGCTCTCCTCCGTCTGCTGGTAAGGGACGCCGTCACTGCCTGGAGCTCCATGCTGACCAGTCCGAGGGACGACCTGCTGGACCAGATATGGAGAGCCACTCCTATCGCCAACAGTGTTGGTGTTGCTGCTGTAGTAAAGTCCTGGACTACTGCCATAACCCACAGGACCACTGGATTCATCAGGATAGCCGCTATAGCCCACATAGCCACTAGCCTGTCCTACTGGTTTCTCATAGGCTGGTGGGGACTGAGCTTGTCCAGAAGGTGAAGCTGCATACATCCACATGGGTGGTCCACCTCCACTGGCTGAAGACAAACAGAGGACATGTCACCTGCTTATCTCAGGTGAGCTGCTTTGGTTTAGAGTCAACTTACCTCCTTGTTGAGGAGCACAGGAGACGCTACCAACCAGCAGGAGAGAAACCCACAACATCCTGCAAGAACATCACAGGTTAAAAACACATTCCAGATTAGAAACACCAACATCTGCTCTCCAGCCAGCATGCTTCATCCTTAGAAAACCTGGATGGACTCACCTCATTCTGCTGCCTATGGTGAGACCCTGACCCAAACACAAAGTCCAGAACCTTCTGACAGTGACTCCAAACTGCAGGAGCTGGTTTTATATGATCCTCAGTGCAGCTGCAGCTGATTGCTGAGTGGGAACAGCTGCTGCAGGAAACAGACCAAGAACAGGTTGTTTCTGGTCACCTGGACTCGCGTCTCAGAGCAGATTTTAGAAGTTTGGTTATGTCTCTGTCTAGTGTGAGATAGACTGGGTTGTGTTTAATCAGCTATTCCTTTTCTTATCCTGGAGATATATTTCCTGTAATTCCCAGTTGGGACCATTTTGTTTGGAGTTTGCATTTGGTGGGTTTCTCAGGTTCTCGACTTCAAGCTGAACGATTAAAGTAAAGAAAAAGTTTATTATGATGACTTTTCACTGATTTAAAAAAACATCATGAGTTCACATTTTAGGAAGACTAAAAGATAATTAGTGGTGATTAAAACATTTTTAACAATGAAAATAATTCAGATTGCTGGAAAGATGCACACGGCATCAATTAAGCGTCTAGATACATTCAGACATGAATCATTTTTAGACATGGACTAGTTACACTAAATTTTCTGTTACATCGCTCAGTCACATAAAAATGCAGTGCTGCTACAAAAGCAGAGAACAGCTGCTACGGCAGCCTGGAGGTCCAAACAAAGTGATGATTTTCAGGAGTCAATGGTTGGAGCTAGAAAGGTTTTGGTAATCAAATTTTCTATTCTGTTTTTAGACAGTTTAGTAAAAAATAGTTGTTTACCTGACATGTTTCAGCTAGTAGCTCTAGCCATCATCAGAGATCGCCGGTGTTGGTGGCGTCACTTCCTTTTATCCACGGGCAGCAGAGAACGATGCCGCCCTCTGCGGCCCGCGTCCTCCTTGCTGAGGACACAGTCCCATGTATGATCCAGTGTGAATACTCCATCGTCCCTGCTTATGGTTTTGTGCCCACGTCTCCTTATTTCTATCGCTTCCTTGATCCAATGTTTGTATTTTTGTTGTTCTGTGTTTGTGATCCATGTGTTGTCCCAGTCCACTATGTGGTTTTCTCTTCTGCAGGTCTGTTGCAGCTGATTTCTTTATTGTACTTTCTGCTTCTTGTTTGGCTGCTCTTGTGTGTCTTTGACTGGTTTCCCTCCCATGCTATCTTTGTTCTTGTTTTTCGTGTGTTCGGTTTCTCCTGCGTATGTTTTATTGCAGAGTTTGCATGGGATTTCGTATATGACTGTATCTTGTCCTTTGGGTGTACTAATCTTTTTCTGACTGACATGTATGTTTTGTTGGTGTGTTGATAACATGTGGATACAAAATACCATGCATACTCTCATTTAGGATTCATTTTCACATCATTTTGCAGATGATGTGGTCCTGTTGGCTTCATTAGAACATGATCCTCAGCTTTTGCTGGGGCGGTTCGCAGCCGAGTGTGAAGCAGCTGGGATGAGAATCAGCTCCTCTAAATCTGAGATCATGGTCTTGATTCGGAAAAGGGTAGAATGCCTTCTCCGGGTCAGGGATGAGGTCCTGCCCCAAGTGGAGGAGTTTAAGTATCTCGGGGTCTTGTTCACGAGTGTGGGAAAACTGGAGCGTGAGATCAATAGGCGGATTGGTGCTGCAGTGATGCGGGCGTTGTACCGGTCTGTCGTGGTGAAGAGAGAGCTCTTGATTTACCGGTCGATCTACGTTCCTACCCTCAACTATGGTCATGAGCTTTGGGTAGTGACCGAAAGAACGAGATCACGGATACAAGCGGCCAAAATGAGTTTACTTCGCAGAATGGCTGGGCTCTCCCTTAGAGATAAAGTGAGAAGCTCGGCCATCCGGGAGGGGCTCGGAGTAGACCATCTGCTCCTCCATATCGAGATGAGCCAGTTGAGGTGGCTCAGGCATCTGGTCAGAATGCCTCCTGGACGCCTCCCTGGTGAGGTTTTCTGGGCACGTCCAACCGGGAGGAGACCTAAAGGTAGACCCAGGACACGGTGGAGGGACTATGTCTCTCAGCTGGCCAGGGAACGCCTTGGGATTCCCCCGGAGGAGCTGGCTCAAGTGGCTGGGGAGAGGGAAACCTGGGCCCCTCCGTAGGCTGCTGCCCCATGACCCGACTCCAGATAGGTGGGAAAAAAAATGGATGGATGGATTTTGTTAATGCTGCTGAATTATCACACATTCTGTCAAAGAGGGCGTTTTCTGTTGCTGTAGATTATAGTAGTCAGATTTAACTAGTATAACATTGTTCAATGTCTTGTAAAATTATGCATACAATGTCTGAAGCTTTTTCTATCGGGTTAAAATAAATTCACACTTGCAAAATTGCATTGCTTCATTTGGAGAACAGATGCACCATATATATATATATATATATATATATATATATATATATATATATATATATATATATATAGCATGAGAAAGTCACATGACAAAGATCTGACTGTTCAAACAAACTACTAACTTTATCCAACTGGAAGCTGTAATTGGTAACCCGTAAAGACAAAACTGCTGTTCTTGGTCTGTTTCCTGCAGCAGCTGTTCCCACTCAGCAATCAGCTGCAGCTGCACTGAGGATCATATAAAACCAGCTCCTGCAGTTTGCAGTCACTGTCAGAAGGTTCTGGACTTTGTGGTTGGGTCAGGGTCTCAGCATAAGCAGCAGAATGAGGTGAGTCCATCCAGGTTTTTAAAGGATGAAGCATGCTGGCTGGAGAGCAGATGTTGGACTTTCTAGTCTGGAATGTGTTTTGAACCTGAGATGTTCTTACAGGATGTTGTGGATTTCTCTCCTGCTGGTTGGTAGCGTCTCCTGTGCTCCTCAACAAGGAGGTAAGGTGACTCTTAACTAAAGCAGCACACCTGAGATAAGCAGGTGACATGTCCTCTGTTTCTCTTCAGCCAGTGGAGGTGGACCACCCATGTGGATGTATGCAGCTTTACAAGCTCAGTCCTCACCAGCCTATGAGAAACCAGTAGGACAGGCTAGTGGCTATGTGGGCTATAGCGGCTATCCTGATGAATCCAGTGGTCCTGTGGGTTATGGCAGCAGTCCAGCACTTTACTACAGCAGCAACACCAACACTGTTGGCGATAGGAGTGGCTCTCCATATCTGGTCCAGCAGGTCGTCCCTCGGACTGTTCAGCATGAAGCTCCAGGCAGCAGCAGCGTCCCTTACCAGCAGATGGAGGAGAGCTGGAGCTCTTCCTCTGATACCAGCGGTGAGGACGAGCCAGTCTTCACTCCTGTAGAGGACGAGGATCAGGTGTACGCATTAAAGTCTCGCTCCAACTACAACCGCAAGCGCCTGCTGTTCAGCCAGTTCCGCTACACCCCAACACAACTCTACATTGGTGAACCCCATCACCATCACCACCACCACCACAGCAAGGGGCACCATCACAAGGATCAAGTCAAAGGATACTAAGATGTTTGAGGCTCTTCTACTCTAGCTTATTGTCTTTCTACTACGTTTCTATTTTCAGATTTTACAATAAACTTGCTTGTAGCTTAAGTTGCATCTGAACAATGTTTGCTGCCTACAAAGACTCCTCTCCTTAGCTAGCTCAGTGGCCTACTGCTGAGTGTCTGCCCTGGGACTGGGAGATCCGGGTTCAAGTCCTGGTCGGGTTATAACAACTTGTTTCTGAGCGCGGCTGTGTCTTTGCTTTCTTCCCACCCCCAGGGAAGGTCCAATGTGAACAAATTTTGCACTTTGTGGGAGTGATCTAATGGGACTAACTTAATGAATCGCCTTTATATACTGTTCAGTGAGCACTTGCCCATAATTTATACTGCATAAAGATGTAAAACTCAATAAGTGAGAGTATATTCAGATATTGGGCAGCTCCTGCATGAAGCGCCTGTTAAAGACAAACTGGTCTGTCAACGAGCCAAATAAATGTTTTCTGTTAAAATTCCAAAGGACTGGTGCAACATGCAAAGGGCACACAGCAAGTGTCAGCTGACCTCAAAATGCAGGTGTAAGTAGCTCTGACATGTAAGGGGTGTGGTCATTCATTGCCTAAGATAAGTCACGAGCAGCCAGTGTAGACATGGCAAAACTGGAGTAATGTCTATGGTCTAGCAGCAGCATTCTGCACCGGCTCAAAGCAGGAGCAGTGAATTTGCATAATCCGAGCAAGAGGTAAAAATCTCAGGCTCAAATGTCAATGTTTGAGTTCTGGTTTGAGACGAGGCAAGTGGTGCAGTCGGGAAAAAGCACTATTCAACAACGGCATAAATTTGAGGTATTAAAAATCCTGCATCTAATTTCACCCCAAGGCTAGTGACACATTTCTCAAGTTCAATAAGAGGAAAACTGGGTACAGACGATGTGCGTGAAAGTTATTTCGGCTCAAAAAGTATTACAGCTCTTTAACAGAGCGATGTTGGCACAGGAGCCAAGTGCTCGCCCCGTAATCGTAAGGTTGCAGGTTTGAGCCCCAGTCTGTCGCTGTCGTTGTGTCCTTGGGCAAGGCGCTTAACCTACCTTCCCTGCTGGTGGTGGTCGGAGGGACCGGTGGCGCCTGTGCTCGGTAGCCTCGCCCCTGTCAGTGTGTCCCAGGGCAGCTGTGGCTATGATGTAGCTCATCACCACCAGTGTGTGAATGACTAAAGTGCTGTAAAGCGCCTTGGGGGTTCCAGGACTCTAGAAGGTGCTTCATCAAATAAAAGCCATTTACAACCATACAACCATGTTTAGTGTAACAGATGCTGAAAGCCAAGAGCCATGAATATTTAAAAAGACACGCAAGCGTAGGGTATTACTACATACTAGAATCAACACTGTTTGCTATCAGTTGTTAATTCTGAGAATGATCAAGCACATTAGCATATGATTTTATGTCATGTATAAATGTCTAAGATACTTATATATCGATAGAAGTTCATACACCAATTTACTTGGTCTATTTTTAATCCAAAGATTAATGTTTAATTTAGGATAATTAAATTTAATAGCAAAAGTTTGTTTTTGAATAAGGAGTTAGGAATCTTTGCTTTTTCAATAACCAGAAATATTTATACCTTTCTGTGTTTCATTTCAAAGAATGAGGCAAGTTTAAAAATGAAGAATTTTTTACTAACAATTTTAAACTTGACGATTTGAAATGACAATTTAAATGACAATTAAAAATGGTAAATGGCCTGTATTTGATATAGCGCCTTCTAGAGTCCTGGAACTCCTCAAGGCGCTTTACAACACAATCAGTCATTCACACACTGGTGGGGATGAACTTCAATGTAGCCACAGCTGCCCTGGGGTGCACTGACAGAGGCGAGGCTGCCGAGCACTGGCGCCACCGGTCCCTCCGACCACCACCAACAGGCAACATCGGTTAAGTGTCTTGCCCAAGGACACAACGACAGCAACAGACTGAGCGGGGCTCGAACCTGCAACCTTCCGATTACGGGGCGAGCACTTAACTCCTGTGCCACCGTCGCCCCACACAAAAATGACTCTTAAAATTGACAATTCATGGATGACAATTTACCAGCTTTGATATTAAAACTTGTTTAAAAGCCTTACCTGTGTCTGGATGGAAAGCTAAAATCAAATGAGAGTTTTGGATGCGTGGATGTTCTCAGAAGGTTTCTTTCAGAGAGAGAAGCGCGTTCTGGGTTGGAAATGATGCGTTTTGCAGCTAACTGAGTCGTTTACTTTGAGAGAAACGTATCAAACACAATCTGTCAGAATGTCTACCTCACCCAGTATAGAAGACCCCCTTTTGGATCCGAAGTGTCAGGTGGAGATGGTTTCCTCCAGGCACGAGGTTGGTTGATGGACCTCTGGTGCGACAAAATCGGTCCTGAGATGTCTCCTTGGGTCACTCGACTGGTGGAACTATTTGCGTCTCTAAGTCCATAACTCTGAAGGAGTTTTTGCGTCAGCTGGTTACAGTTGGGTTTATTCGTAGCTATTCTTATCGGCGTGACAGAACAGCAGGTGGAGGTTAGGGACGGCCGTTCCCGTATCCTCAGTGATGGTGGTTGGTTCACGAATTGGTGTTTTGTGTCTGGAAAGTTAGTTTTAACAAACTCCTCAGAACACGCCCTCTCAGAGCAAGAAAGCTTTGGTCATGAGTCAAAAAACATGTGATGGCAGATTAACCTTTACTCTGGATCAGTTCTGAATGAGCTGGTTACGGTTGAGATGACCTTCTGGTTTGCTGAACACACATCACCAACCATAATCATAGTAATCGTTATTATACCCAAAGCATAATAATTCATTTCAGTAATTAAAAATACATTTATACTGAACCAAGAGATTATTTATGATGGTTATAATAAACCTCAATAAAGTCAAAGAGTTTATTAAAATGATTATTTAAATTATCATTGTGAAACTTGGAAGTGTCCTTGTTCTGGGACGGAACAGCAGCAAATAAGGATGATATTCGTCAGACATCAGGGCTCCTGGGTTAATCTGTGGAACTAAAAGTCACATTTTCCCAGCTTGACCAAGCTGGGAAAATGTGACCTTTGTCACAAATTAGAGGACCTTCATGACGCTACACAAGTCTTTAAAAACGGCACTAAAATGGATTCATTTGTAAACTCATCAGATTATAGACTAATGGCTCTGGAGGAGATTAACGTGGCCTCTGTTCTGGAGAACAGACTGCTCGTCTGCCCAATCGGCAGGCCATGATGTGGATTTCTGTCGTTTCCCATGAAGCGTGGCTCTTTAAACAGTTGGCAGAGTTTCCAGCCTGCTCCCCAGCTCTGAGCTAGCCTTCCTCGCTGATTTGTTCAGCCTCTGCTGTTTGGGACTGCTGCCCCCCACCCCTAACACACAGCGGCAGTGAAAGGGGCCCTGGCCTCTACAGAATGGTAATACATGTGCAGCACATCCTGACTTACGTTAAAAGACCTACGCCTCCTCAGAAGAAATACAGCTTGAACCTTTCTTGTAAATGGCATCCTTACTGGGGGACCAATTCAGGTTTTCATCAATCAGGACTCCCAGATATTTGAAGGTGTGCGCCACTTCTGTGTCCCGATCCATGATGGAGACTGGGTGGAGGGAGGACCTGGATTTCCTGAAGCTCACAATCACCTCCTTTGTCTTGGCTGAGTTGAGGAGCGAGCAGATCCTACTGCTCCATTTCCTGAAGGTCTCCACCAGCTCTCTCTCCTCCTGCTCATCCTTATCCCGGATGCGTGCCACGATAGCCGTACCACTGCCATCAGAATATCTCTGGTTCTGACAGACCTCTGAGTTGTACCGACAGTCCTCCGTGTTCAGAGTGAAAAGGACTGCAGCTCTGTAGCCTGAGGGTCCCCAGAGCTGTAGCTCACAGTGTCAGAGACTCGGTTTTGAGGTCTTGACGGACCGTCTATGGTCCATGTGATCAGAGACAAAAACGTTTTGTCTCAAGTTTTAATCGCCGCTAATTATCGTTTATTCTCCTTAAAATGTGACCTTTGAATGTTTTTCAAATCGATGAGTAATCCAGACTATTTCTTTTCTATAATCCGTCAGTTTGAGCCTAAAGCCTGATTCATGCTTCTCCGTCTGCGTCAGTGCACAGACACGCAACGCCATTATCCGTCCTTGCGGGCCTGCTGGAGAGCTCGCAAGGACGGACGAAGTCGAGCTCTCTTTTCTAAACATCCGTCCATCGAGACGGACAACGCAGGCTTGTGATTGGTCAGGACGCCGCTGTCTTCTACCACCGCCACTGCGCCCTCAAAAACATAAAGAGAACCGAGGATAACTAGCGGCAGACACGGAGAAACTTGAAGAACACCTCGCGAAAAAACTCTAAAAACATGAATGTTTAATTCCCCCGTGACTGGAGGAGTGAAAAGATACGCAGCAAGCGTTTTATTTGTGGACGGAAATGACAGGAAACGTGGGTTTAGAGGTGGCGAGCGCATGAAGAGGTGGAGGAGGATGAGAGACAAATTTGTCCGTGTTAAAAAGTCTCTTATATACAAAAAACACAATGTAAACACACTATCTTGGACCGATTCATGACAGGATACCACAGAACAGCGCTACGCCCTCTGCTGCCCTGGCGGGGAATTGCTTTGCAACACTCCCCAGGAGACGGAGAAGCATGAGGGCAAAACATCTCCGTCCATGCGTGTCTCTCCCTGTTGGAGCTGACGGAGAAGCATGAATCAGGCTTAACGGACACGTTTTTGGACTGTAGGAGGAAACTGGGGAGCCTGGAGAAACCCACCAGTCACTGGGAGAACATGCTAACTCCAAGCAGAAAAGTAGCTAGGAATTACAGAGCGTACATGAGAGGGAATGAGTGATGAAAGAGCTCAGTCTGACTCACGTTAGAGAGAGTCACATATCCAAACTCCTAAAAGTTGCTTTGAGACGTGACACCAGTCACACCCATTAAGGTGACCACTCCACTCCATTCCGAGTTTATTCATAAAGCTCATGGTTAACAGCATGGGAGCTGACCAAAGAGCTAAACCGGGAGTAAAACAGAAGTCACAGCAAAAAAACAACGTTCTGTGTATTCAGGGCAGCGTCTACGAAGGCCC